TAACGCTACAGAGCCTCGATTTTGTTTTACTTATGAAATTGTATTTCTGTTAAACAGCTGAGAAGCAGTGATCTATGTTCAGTACAGCTCCAGGGTACGCTCCGGGCTTACTCTTATTAGTGACATCCCTCCCTTTCTAGTACAGAGAAAACACCGGGCATAATGAATTGTCTATGAGCCGTTTTAGCTATGTATAAGTTTCATACGTCCCATATTGAGAATCAATCGTAGGTGTACAGGCCAGCTCAATATAAATGCGGCATGAAACACAAATCACAAAAAAATGAAAAAAAAATCATTATATTCGAACTGATTTTTTCCTATCCCAGGATTTTTGCTGTTTAATTGATAAATAATATCCAAAAGCCTTTCGGACGTCGATCGATCTCATTTCTGGGATGCGCACCGCATTCGACTTTTATTCAGAGTTTAGAAGGCGTTTTGATGTGTTGCGCCTCGCATTCGACTTTTATTCAGAGTTAAGAAGGCGTTTTGATGTGTATGTAAACTAACCCAAAGGGATGAAAGGCTTGATGATTCCGGACCGAATCGAAAGAATCTGCGATTCGTTCCTGGACTATGTCCGCGATAGTTGGCGCCATTTGTCACCACATCGTGTCCGACTTTTCTTTTTTGATTGCTTTATAGTAATTACCAATGAGTTGTAGTAATTAAATATTACTGTATATTTTTAAACAAGTAAAATTAAATTTATATTGAGATGCTCGCATAGTTAATAAAACTAACGTTTGAAAAAAAAACTCAAATAGCTTGTTTTAAGCTTTTTGGACATAGACACATGGATTAACTGGGATTCAATTGATGCAGGGAGCTGGTATTTGCGATTTGCGCTTCGAACGCATTTAGGACCACCCATTTATGTAGCAAATAGTGGCTGTTGATAGAAGTGAGACTGTTAAGTATAGCGTTACTTACAAATGATTATGATAAATATAAAATAAACCTGCTCAGACAAAGCCCAAAGCTGATCTTCATCAAATGGAGTTCGCGCTACCAACATGGTGGGATGACAAAGATGAAATTTTGTCCTAAGTGCTTGCAAGGAACCGGAATGTTAATTTAGACGTCTAATTATTAGAATTTGGCGGATCAATGGACCGACTAAAACTAGCGGAAGCAAAGAGTAATGTTATATAATACAATGACGAGACGAGACTGCATACATCTTTGATGATTCGGTTACCAAAGCCAGGTTGAAAACATATAGCCCTGATCTCGCGCCATCCGAATACTTTTAATGATACTTCTTTCGGTGGTTGCAGGATTCTTTTAGTGGAAAACCTCTACCGAAGATGGGGATATAAATAATAATTGATCAAGGTTTGCTTATTGAGAGAAATTTGTTCTTAAACGGGTGGTGAAGTGGTGGAGGTGGTGTAGTGGCAAATGGCGCATTACCACACTCGCATAGTCACGTGTTCGAATCATCCGCCTAGGCCGTAGACTTCCATCCCTTCAGCGTTGCTTATTTGGTACCAGACTCGTATGAGAGGATAAAAATCCTGATCTGTAGATTGGTTGGGCACCTCAATTCACTGATTAGGCCTCCTATGCATTCAATAGGTCACTACGATTCTATATTTGTGTTGAATGCGGGGCACATCCGGGATGGGATTGATCAACGTCTAAGGACACTAACCTTTGATCCTTTATCCTTGGAACACTCAAAAATTCTACTTTCTTTCCAAACTGCCGAATAAACACCAAACCCACACAATCCTTTTACTTTTCGTTGGTCAAACTTGTTCACCTCTTAATGGAATCCTTCTTAGTTCATAATCCCGTTTTCCAAGCTAATATCGTGCGTATTGAGATCGGCTTGTTGTAAAGGAGGATGAAAAGCAGGTCTTCCTTGTTTTTTCTTCTTTCATACAAAACTTGATCAATGAGGCAGAGGTGGATGGTATAACTGCAGGCTCAGCCTGCAGTGTGTACTTTGGCACATCGGTCGATTGAAGCTTTACAACGGATTATGCAATAGTAAGTGCTACGGAGAAATTCGCAGAAATTTCGGGTCACATGGTTCGTTCATGGTGACTTTCGACGGATAAACGACCTATAATCGTTTGTCATTCTTGCTTTCCTTTCTGCTGGATCTACCATTCTAGTATGACTTCAGAAGAGTTAAACTTGGGACTTGTAACGGTTCAACGAGGATGAATTTCAATTAAAAAGCTGCTTCCCTCGTTCCAGCCGCAGTCACCCTAAAATCACTCTGTTGCTGTTCATCTACGTTTTACATATACTTCATTTTACGAATTTCATAGACTTTTTTATATTAATCTAGTTTAATGATGCGGGCGGGGCGAAGGCGGTCAGTGGTAAGTAGTGCCTAAACCACATATTGTCCAGGGATTGCATCCCAAACTGACTGGTCGAAGCTGAGCTTTCCAAGTTTTCATAAGGATCGGTTAAGTGATGCCAGACTTGTGTGGGGGGATAAAGGTTAAGACTTGTACATCGACCAATGCAAATCATTTAAGCGTCTTTCAATCGCCATTGCGATTCTGAGTAGGATTGAACACGAGGGCGTATTCCACAACAGCATCCTTCAACACCTAAAAACTTTATGTGGAAGGTTCACACTTTAGCTCATCAATTTGCCTCTTTCTTGACTCTAGAAATCCATTATTCCTCCATGCTATTACCTCTTGACTTACTTCCTTTTTGAGGTCAAATTTGATAGATTGTGGAAATTTTAGCTACTTTCAAAGGTTCTATGAACGATAGTTGATTCTTTCTTTAAAAACGTGTTTTTTGGCCTTGATTCCATCAGCAGTCGGTCTTGGTGTCCAATTGAGCGTTTAAAATATCGATGAGAAGAGAGAGGCTCATTCTTCGATTGAGCGATTTCAAAATAGCCTGACAGCTCTTTTCAAAGTTTTCCATCTGGAAACTGAACTTCGGTCGGAGTCGAAAACTGCGTGCTTCTCTTTGAAAAGAGCCAGTACGGGAAATTTGAGCTGCAGACAGTTGAATTTGCTCGATCACGTCCACGCAAGCGAAATCACCGTCTCAATTCCTAGTAGCCGACTCTTCAGAGAAACCAGAGGCCGGCTATATCCTAAAAATCAACTAAATTTTGTTATAAGCGAGACAGGCTCGTCAATTCCATTCCCTCCATTCATTTACTATTCATTTGCATTTTTCTTACTGGGTGGAGTTGGTGCACTGGCAAGTGGCGCACTATCCCATGGGCATAGTCATGGGTTCGAGTCGCGGGTGGATAAGCGATGGGTTGATAAACAGCAAAGACTTTACCTTTTGACCTTAATTATTCTTGCTATTCCTTGTTCTCATTCCTACTTCCCACTACCATTGCTCTGCGAGAATTTTCAATGAGTTCTTCATGTGATAAACGTCATCGAATGATATAAGTTTCCCAACAAACTGGAAAATAAGTTGATTCACCCTTTAATTCCATTAGTTAGGAGAATGTTGTACAGATGATTCATGTAGTAGTTTCTACGATTTTAATTAGTTTTCTATTCACAAAAAGAGTTATAGACACAGTTCACGATAGAACCGGCTAATGGGGCATACCTCCCTAGGATGAATATGTGGCCCCTCGTATACCAATTGTGGCGCGTCCGGTCGGGAAACGGCTTAGATAGGCGGTTTAAAAGCTCGAAGATTGTCCCCTGTGTGTGCACGAATGAGTTCCAACGGCATTGTAGAGGCAGCACCATCCACAAAGAAATCAATGTAGGAAACTCAACCAACTTATCATGACTCACTGCGACAGTGATAGGCAATGGTGGACAGTTTTGACATGATGTATCGTCCAATGAGCTCTCCCATATCATTTCCGTCATGGTGATCTCGTAAACCTCTATTTTCACTATTTTCAAGGGGTCTTATTTTCATGAGATCGGCGAATTTTTTGCTTCCTTCACCACCAATTTATCGCTTCCTTCACGGATTCCCAACCAACACTTCCCCTTTTCGACTTAAAAACCGAAAGACCCGAAAATCATCCCAAGCTGTGCCTTGAAGCATCAAAAATCCGTGCTAGTATTGCGCGAAACTGGCTCATAGTTCATAGGCTTTTTCCTCATATTGGGCCCACTCTTACAACACAAAATGCTATGGATTTTTATCATGATGAGTTTTCTCATCATTTCTCACTATCAAAAGGCCCACAGTTCATAAAAAAGTTTTTTAACTATATGAATTCACGTGGTGGGACCGTCCAGTAGTAACAGATGATATTGCAGGACATGACTTGGTATAACAATTAAGCCATCTCAGGAATTTCAGAGAGGAGTTCTCGCCTTTTTCTTTGACCTATTGACTATTGAGCCACCCTATTGACCGACATTATAGCTACTTTTCTCTTGCAGTCACAGCATCGTTCACGTTGTCTCTATGGCCGCAAACCTCACTTCTAATGATTCCGACAATTTCGCACTCAATCAGATGTTCTTCTCAGCTGCTTCATCGTTTTCATCTTCAACTTTTGCGCGAGTCACTGACGTATTCCGATTTTCACCTGGACTATCAAAACTAATCTGTACGGAACTTGAATTTTTGCTTTATTTCAGATAAACCCTCCGATCATTCGTAGATGGGATTAGCTTTACATTTATTCCTGGCAATAGTATTCGCCTCAGGTGCATATTTCTTCTACAACTCCTACTTTTCACCTCCAGTTGAGGTGAGAATTGAAACATTGCATTTTCGATTGATTGAAAGCCTAAGTCCCTGTTTGATACTGTTCTCATAATGTTTTCAGATGAAAATGTTGTAGAGAGGGTGGAGGAGGGAGGGGGGAGGGGGGGGGGGGCACCCCTCATCTCAAACATTGAGCTCTAAAGCGTTAAGAAGGGGGATAACTGTTTTTACTCATGCCTAGAGACGGCTCTTAGCCAGAGGAATATGGCTTCAACCTCATCCTAGAAACAAGGGGTGCCCCTCCTTCTCCATCTACACTGTCACTGGAGCATTTTTAGGGAACAACTGCTTGAAATTGTGTTTAGATCAGAGTAGAAGAGAATGGTTGGTTCGGCGTTGGCGAAGTACGTCTTGATGACCTTAACGTGTACCCTTTCGAAGTGAATGTTACACCAGATGAACTAAAGGTTGGCAATTGTTTATTTGTTTATTTCTCTATTTATTTATGTGTTTGGTATCACTAAAAAAGTGCGCTCATGAAAATCATCAGCTAGAATGTATAATGCTCAAGCTCATTCCGAATGCAAGCCTCTCTTCGCAGTGAGTTCTTATGTATATCCTTATGCAGTAGTGGAGCTGTGTAAAGAGGCGCAAAACCAAAAGCATGGTCCTGAGATCAATATCTTCCCAGAGCAGCGAAACATACCGCAAATCTGAGTTCTCCTGATTGGCATCAGACTTATGTGAAGAGCGCAGGCACTGACTTCTACATTAGCTGACATCTGTAAGTCACTGTATCGGTCACATATGCCTTTAATGTTTCGACGATTTTGAGTGGAATCGAGTGCGCCGCGCATCCCAGAGTGGGGGTCATTGACGCCAAAGTCATTATGAAATTAAAGCGGCTTGAATACGCGTCATAAATCTCGTAAAGAACAGAGCTCAAACGAGATGATTTTATTTTGAGCAAAGGAAACTCTGAGAACTAAAAAGGTTAGTGACATGAGAGAGATCTTCAATGGGCTTAAGCGGGACCGGTTTGCTCTGGCGTAATTCGATAGGGTTAAGCGTCATATTAGTAAAATGCGTCGATCTCACATGTTTTTAAGGAATTCCATCAGGAGAAGTAAACAAAGGAGAGTAGCGTTAGCTTGATGAGAGAAACTAGTTTATTCTTAATTTGTGAAAGAATTTTTAGGATCTCAAACAGCGACTGGAGCGAAGTCGTATCTCACATAGTCATTTGGAAGATTCAAATGATTTCTGGTATGGATTCAATTCAAAAGAGTTGGAGGTATTCAGACAGTACTGGTTGAAGAACTATGACTGGAAGAAACATGAAAACATCATTAACCAGTTCAAGCAGTACAAAACGGAGATCGAAGGCGTCAAGGTTAGTCTACCAGGACGGAATAACTCTTTTGGTTTTGATCAGCTCCCTCCTAAATGGAATTCATTCACACTAGGTCTCACGGTTCAGGACACCTAGACAAAGTTCTTTCTATCAAATTTTCAAAGGGGAGGGTGATATTTTGGGAAGGGATTATTGATGGTTCCGAGAAAAGGTAGACGAAAAAGTTGTTTGTTAAACCCTTTTTGACTCAGTCTTCCAATTTTGGAGCAAAATATCTTCATAGATTGTCCAGCACAATCTTTACAAAATTTCTTACAAGAGAGGTTTTTGACTGTCTACAGGTTCACTTCATTCATGAACCGGCGGCAAAAGGCTACAGAAAGGTACTGCCTCTTCTCATGGTCCATGGCTGGCCTGGAAATGTTTTCGAATTCTACAAAATCATTCCCATGTTGACAGATCCCAAGAAACATGGAATCAAGTCAGATGTAAGCTATTTCCTTTACTTTATATTTTTCTTTGAGTAAGATTTGACATAGCGAACCCCCACGGTGTTTGTGTGCCTTGAGCTTTAGCACGGGTGACATTTATTATTGACACAGGGTTGTTTATAGTACGAGCATCTTACGAGAAGATCTCATAAACTTGTACTACATATTGAAAATATTCATCCCATCAGAGATAATTGATCAGAACATTTCTGGAGGCTCAGCTGTCCATAATGATGGCTTTTTTGAGCCCAGGGACAACGCTATGACGTTTATTTATTTATCTATTTATCTGTCTCTCTGTTTATCAACTGATTTTATAACGTCATAAATAATACTACGGCAAATGTAATGCGAGGATAGGAAATCAAGAAAAAATAAAAAGCGAAGGCGAGGCTGTAAAACGTTGCTGAGAAATTTTGGTTCCCATTTGGTGCTGCCTTCTGAGAATCACTGATTTCTTCATGGAATTCCCAAAAATCATCTCAATCATTCAGCAAATCGATCAATAAATTAATCGAGAGTCTCAGATCAGGAATTTATAATATAACAATAACACCGATTCGAGCTTTTGTAATAGTGTTTGCTTTTACTTTCTATTATATTTGGCAGCTGCTGCTCAAACATAACTGTACTAGCTTCTATTTTTCGTCGGACTGACCTCTCTTTGAACTCATCAGGACATTGGAAGCCCAACGAATTCTCTGCTTTGCTTAGTGAAAGTCGTGTAACGTGTTCAGACTTGAAGGGCATGTCGCGCAGCGGGGCAACTAGCTAACAAGATCGTAAGTTCCACTGCCTACCGAGTATAGGCCACACATCCCTTTTATGGAAACTGTATCACAAAACTAGGCATTTTGAGAGTCTGAAATTGTGGGGTTCACGAAGGAATGGCTAAGCGATGTTTTTTCCATGAGAGATTTATAAGAATGGCAACTAAAACCGTTGAATCACATCCCTCTGGTGTGTCGGAATTTCAGTTTTCCAGTAATTGCTTTCAGGTCGCTTTCGAAGTCGTGGCACCGTCCATTCCTGGATATGGATGGTCTGACCAACCAAAACGATCAGGTGATACCATTTTTCCCTATGTTGCCCATGTAGACCTTATTGTAGACCACTCTACACTCTAGGCTTCAGCCAGGTGGCATGTGCTCGAGTTTTCCGGAAGCTGATGGAACGACTTGGTATCAAGAAATTCTATGTGCAGGGAGGCGATTGGGGCTCACTCATTGTCAGCAATCTCGCTAAACTCTATCCAGCTCAGTGAGAATTATGCTTTCATTCGCCTACTAAATTACCATTAAATATTATATTTAATAAAATTATAACTATTTCCACGAAAAATTTGATTCAACCTCTTCGTAGGGTTTTCGGTGTTCATCTGAACATGCTGTTTACAATGCCCGACTCCTCGTTGAAGGTGGCAGCCCTTGAGATCATTGGCTCATTGGTCCCGAAGGTAATCAATTTAAATGCGTAGTTTTCAAAATATTTTTTAATTTAATGACGCCATTCAGTGGATTTTCTCCTCTACTTCCCACCAGAACCATAACTTCTTCGCAAAAATGTTGCCAATGATGGTTGAAAGTGGATATATGCATATTCAAGCAACTAAGCCGGATACTGTAGGTCTGTCAAATTTAAGTTTTTTTGCAGTAAAATTTTTAGAGTGTTGTTCGAAACTATTTATCAAGTCGGTTTCGCATCATCCAATAGCTAACAGCTAACATACTCATTTAAAAACTGTTGGAAAGAAAAGAATAGTGGTCCCTATCGAAAAGTCTACGGTATCGTTTTCTAGGATTCGTTGCCTAGTCCAGGGGTGGGCCAAGCAAATGGAATCAGATTAGAGAGTGAGGTTCGAAAAAAAGGGAAAAACAGTTTGTTGTTTGTTTCAAATATCAAAATCCGCTGGGACTGAAAGAGGATGGGTGAGAAAGAGGACTTACAAACTTGTTAGTGTTTCATAATCAGAGAGGGCGGCACTTTGCTAGAAGCGTAATAATTCCTCTCTAATGAATATTATTTATTTACCTGTTGATTCATTTTCTTGTCCATTTACCAAACGCGTGTATGATTAGTGCACAAAAATTACAAATACGAGTAAATAAATAATAAACAGATGTTGCGTATGCAGCTCACTTTGAAATATTGGAGGAACTGCGCTCAACGATTCACCGATCGGTCTGGCTGCTTACATATTGGAGAAGTTTTCCACATGGACCAATGTGAATAACAGAGCACTACCGGATGGGGGCTTGACAAAGTGAGTGACCCGTAATTACTCTCCTTTTTATTGTCCCAAATTAAAAAATTATCGTCAAAATCGGAATACTAAATATCCTCTTTTATGGTACATTATAATTTTATGGTAGAGGAATAATTAAGATCTTCAAACTGATTCACCCCTTATGGGAGGCGTTCGTAAGCATTTTCAGCAAATAGAATTACACAAAGGATCTGGACGATCTGAAAGCTAATGTTTCGGTCCTCTCATGAGACTTGGCCATGAGGATATGATTTAGTCTGAAACCTTTTTCTAATGGACTTGATCTTTTGACCGTATATTTGGTAACCCCGCCACATGGATCTTAACCATGTTGAACCAGCTCACAAACAATTTCTTCTTTGCTTTCTTGTTTCCAGATGAAAACTTGAAAATTTCCGCGAGAAATTTTTAGATTAATTAAATCTTTCAGGAAGTTTTCTCGTGATGAACTTTTGACGATAGTAATGATTTACTGGTTGAATGGGAATATCGTCTCATCACAGCGATTCTACCGTGAATTTTTCCTGGATGATCGAAATCGGGCGTTACAGAAGTATGTTACACGAATGTTTTACACAGACTTCTGTAAAGAAATGGATGGTTCCTGAGAAAGTCCCGTACAACCTTCTTTTCACCCAGTTCCCACGGTACTATTATATTTTGGAGAGGAGCAGATGAAGTGGGAGGATCTATGTAGTATTGAGGTAAAGGAGTTGCTTGGTTGGGTGAGCTACTGAGTTTTTATATCTCTGCGTTTGTCAGTAGGTCGGTTTATCTGATCGGGAACAAGTTTATGGTACCTCTTGACCCAGCAGAGGTAGGGCGAATTCTGAGGGCAATAGGAGAATCGGCCGTAGTGAGTGGACTGAGCAGGAGTTCAGCCATCTCAGATTTAATCCCAATCGTTTAGGCAATATTTGGCTGTTCCAACCGCACACCTGTCCGCAATGAATGAGTTCTTCGACAGGACGCCACCTGAGGTAACCTTGAGTACTTTCTGTTTATTGAATATTTAACCACAGCACGAAACTCGTACTAGTCACGAAAACATCGATATCTGTTCAGATTTTTGTAACCGAGCGAAGTAAATATGTACTGACGACAATGTCAGGTGTTATGTGCATAATTTTCAGATTTCATCGGTGTTGTACAATCTGACTCACTACACTGAAGTGGCTGACGTCGGACATTTTGCTGCCTTTGAAATGCCTCGCCCTGTTGCCGTTGATATATTCGATTTTGTTAAGAAATTGGAGAGTTAAAAGTTTGGTTGTTACTCAGTCAAGGAGTGGTGCCTTGTCGAAAGAGTTTTGGACTGCTCCAGAATAAGTTTATTCTACTTAATTGTATTTGTTTTTTACTTACGCCATTGTTTATATAAAATGAAAATGTTAATAATATTCTGTAGTCTATATCGTGCTTCTGAAAGTTTTCGGTCCATGGTAGAAGTCCCGGTCCGCCCATAAGTCGCAGCAGATCTTGGCTA